TGATATAACGTCAAATTCAAATTGTACTCGACGACGGTCGTCTTTGCACGTTATACATTACAAGTCCCTGGTATACTAGTAGTTCACGCAGAGGGCACGCTCTGCGTTTGGCATGAAACATTACTAAAAGTAATTGCCTATTGTTTTTAAAGGATATTTACCAATAGTTTCATATTTCAAAACGCTTATATTTAGAAATTTTGATTGTTGGCTGTTGTCGGATACTGATATGCTGTCTTCGTCAGTGTGCCTTATGATTTTGTAGGAAGCCTAAGTCAAACCCCCCAAAAAATTGGTAGGGACAGCTTGTTGACTACATGTACTAAGGGGACTTTAAAAAATAAATAAAGATTGTATGTGGTTGGAGGGAACCACTGAAGGAAACTATATTTGAGTAAATTTGTATCTATTAACTTATAATATAGAAGATAAAAATGGTCATGATACACAGCAAAACAGCAAAGAGCCATAAGTTTTATTTTAAAAAATGAAATACGTTTTCTTCAGAATATAAACAAGCCAATCACAGAATAATTTTGCTAAGTTTCAGTAGATTTCTGTCCCAAAAATGTGGGCTAAGAGCATTCTTGACAGCATTGAATAATAGTCACTGTGTTTTTAGAGAAATGTTCACTGCTCATAAAAAAAAAATAGCCATTTTTCTTATTGAAATGTAATTTGTACATTTGTCTCCTGTGAAAGTAGAGCAATGTACAGTACTGTAAACCGTTTAATTTTCAGTGATAACAATTTTCACGTTTAAAGAATTCTAAAGGCATTCGTGAAAACAAGAAATGCGAGACAAGTCACTGACACTCAGTGTTGTAGGACCCAAAAGAAATTTTCCCTGCTAGAAATTTTGTGATTTTCACAAAATTCATGAAAATTTATCTTATAAAATTAAAGTGGTTTGCAGTATGTGCTTTCCATGGTTTGTGAGATCTCTACAATAAATGTATAGCATCAGAGGTCAGCCTATTATCCATGCAGAGGTATTGTAACAGTGACTACCGGTAACTGTGGACCACTTGGCCAGTTAACTGCATGCTAAAATCACACATCCAAATGATGGACACTACTTTACATAAACACCATAATCTAATCTAAGCAACCAATCTAATTTACAGTCAATAGCTGAGCTGTGTTTGCCTCAATTCTAGGCTAATGATTGAAACCAAGGATGGGTTAAACATTACTGCAAATTTATTATTGTTTGATTCAGAATTTTTTGCTTGCATATTAAAAAAAAGAAATGTTCGCACCAATGTATATTCTTATTCTAAATCTTCAATTTGAAATGATCAATATTTTGATTTTCGCCTTTTTTTTCTGCTTTTATTATATTATTTTTCTGTTCCCTGTTTTTTACCCGCAACATTGCACTCTTTGTTCAGTAGTGTATATGTATAGTTGAATTTACCTGTAGTATCTTTAAACTATAGTCAGCCCCAACGAATAAAATTATCGTTTTAACTAGCATGCCTAGATTCTATTTTGGATCTCACTATAAATTTAGCATAACATAATGTAAACATTCATGTTTTGGTCTCGCCAAATGCGCAATTGTAACAACATTATCTTCTTAACCCGTTGAATGGCATTTTCAAGTATTTTTTGCTTTTTTTTTAGCTCCGCTGTCAACGTAGTTGACAGAGTGGAGCTGTTCATTTCACTGATTATCCATCATTGTCAACTTTACATTTTTGACTACTTCTTCAAAACGTCAAGTTCACTTGCTGGTTGGTCCTCTTTCAGATTTGTTCATTTCGTGATTTAATTTTGAATATTTTTGGTAAATAGTACTATTTTCGACTTAAAAATGACTAACCCGATTACACCTTAGGTCAGATTTGTTGATTTTGTGACAATACCTTCAATTTTCTAATTTTAGTTATTATTTTTGTCATTCTTTGCAAAAAATGTTATTTTCAACTTCTTGTCAAAAATGGACAGCCTAATTGCTTTAATATTTTATATGCAGACTCCTTGGGTAGACCTTTGACAGATTTGTTCATTTTGTGATGACATGTTTGATTTTCTAATTTTAGTGAATATTTTAGTAATTTTTGGTAAAAAATGCTATTTTCAAAATTACAATGTACACAATGGAGCTATATCTGCCAAGAGACTTCTTGTTTGATAATTCTCAACCGAATAGACAAAGTTTCTGTTGGCCACATATCTTGATAACAATTTTAAAATGTAAAAATATAAAAAATATTATGTGCATTTTAATTTGTAAATGATGCCATCTGGCATTCAAAAGGTTTTCAAATTTCAAATCTTTGATTAGGATAAGATCATTTGTTTACCATACTGACTGATAATAAAAAAAAATGTACTTTTATCAATTTCTGAATAAAAAAGGCAGAAAATGCATTCGCTTATGCACGTATTATTTGTTTAGTCTCAAACTTTGTACTACTGTACATGTATTGTTGTTTGAGTATATATCACTCATTTGTGCATGCAGTTACTCTATATAAAGTTGCTGGTATATGTACCTGAACACAGTGTCATCATTCTTTATCTTTTATCAAATCACTCACTCAGGTCAGCCTCAATACAAACTACATTTGATGAATAGTTATAATTTAAAACAAAATGAGGATCCAAGATTAGCTATAAGAATACTCCCTTCTGCCCTATTCTACAAAATGACCGTCAAAATGTTGCTGTCAAACAAGTTTTTTCTCTTCTAATTACATTGGTATTATGTAAACTAACTTGAAACTTTCTGACTCTGTTGTCTTCCTGTGCAATGTACCTTGTAGGCTGGTTTATCAATTCACATTAAATAAATATATATGTGTTGTTTTTGTTGTAAAAAATAATTAAAAATAAAACATTAAAATAAAAAAAAATAAAAAAAAATATATGTGTATCAAGTGTCAAAAATGTATTACTATTATGGCTAGGTAAATTTGGTACACTTTCAATAAAGAAATACTGATACAAAAGGTATTTCTGCTTCATCAGCTGTCATAGGGTAGTATTATAACTCCCATGGGAATTAGTGTTTCTCTATAATAAATAATAAACGGTAATCAGTCAGCCGAGTATTTATGGTAAAACAATGAATATTTCAAATGGGTGAATATTAAAGTGATTAAAGAACAAAAAAAAAGAAGAAGATTGAATTATGAATGTTTTTCTGTAGATCCTGCAGAGAGTCACCAGTAGGTTTGTACAAGTTAGCTGTTGGCTGGCTTTCTGTAATTTAGTCAATGTATGAGATATAGAATGGTCATGTTCAAGAAGCCTGTGAATTGCTGCTGTGCCATTACTATAAAGGTATAACATGGCCATACCTAGTTGCCATGGAACAGTTAATATTCGTTTTTTTTGGCAATATGTAATGGGTGTGTGTAAATAAACTTTTATTTTATTCAATAATAAAGTTAAGGTCAACTGCTTGTCCTAGATTGAGGACATCGTTATAATTAGGTTATAGATTAGTCACAGGTCATATAGGTGCTTGCTGTAATATTTTTTTCCCTGTCTACTCTGACTGGTGTTCTATCTATGATCCCTACAAAAATAAATAACCACACCCAGATATATGCGTGTCCATAGTACAATGTAAATGTTTCTTTATGTTGTCACTGAAATTAGGCCAAACTCATAAGGAGTGAACCATTTTTGTTGTTACTAGAGGGAGGGAGGGAAGGAATGGGAGGGGCTTGAATCATAAATAAAAAATGTACATAAAAAAAGGAAAGGTATTATGTATCTGTGAGTTATAAAATATTAAAAAAATACTGTGTCTATCTCTGATAACAAGCATAAAATCAAAGAATGCTTCGAAAGAACTCCCATGTGCTGAGAGTATTGGAGACACAATGTGACATTAAAAATAATTCGAAACTACTTGTACTTGAGATATTGATGGAAAAGCTGAAAACTAATTATGCAAATCAAAAAATTAATATAAACACATTTGAGTGTAAAACTAATGAAGTCTCCGCGCAAGGTAACAAACCATCTATGTACCAAATTTTATTGAAATGTGATTAGAACCAAAAAATTATGAATTATTATGTGTATTAGGGAATTAATATGGACAGATTTTAATCCCAAACTAATTCATTAAATGTGATGATTAGTACTTGAGATATCAATGGAAAATCTGAAAATTAATTATGCAAATTAGGTAATTAATATGCACAATTATTTACCCTAAAACTAATCAGGTCTCTGCAAATTAGGTGATTAATATACACAAATATTCATCCCAAAATAATCAATCTGCATAGTCCTTGAGTATCTATGTACCAAGTTCCATTGAAATGTAATGCTTACTACTTGAAATATCAAAAGCTGAAAATTAATTAATTATGCAAATTATGTAATTAATATGTACTTATATTACCTTAAAAACTATCAGGTCTGTGATGTGTCCTATGACATCTATGTACCAAGTTTCATTGAAATGTACTTGAGATATCAGTGGAAAAACCTAAAATTGACTAATCATTATGCAAATTAGGTAATTAATATGCATGTTTCCATAGATCACAATGAAAACACATTTTCTCATAAATAAAAAAACACTAAAATATTGTCAAAACTTTCAGACATCAAATGGTACCTTGTATTGTAAGACACTATATATCGTTTTTCACCATATGTTGCCTGAAAAAATTTTGAGATATATCCTTCCCATTGCTCTAAAACAAAACATGATATAAAATATATAAAAATAAAGAAAATGACAATATATTTATTTTTGTGTAGCTTTCTACCTTAGGTAATCAGAAAGCTAGTGCCTGAAAGTAAATGTTGTTTTACAAAAGAAAAAAATAATAATTTAAGCTACTGCCCCCTGCCTATTTATGAAGCAATGCAATGTTAACAGAACCACACATTTCATTTCTCTAGATAAAAAAGAACCAGTAGACTATGCTAAAATTCCACTCACCAGTAACCAAGGAGACGATAGTGAAGATGAAGAACTGTTCAATGGAGATGCTGGCCAGTCCTTGCATAAGGTCAGAATTGACGATGGATCAGCATTGCATAATGGATACAGAAAAAAAAATGAAACTGATTTTAAACAAGACCATAAACTGTCTCTTCAGAAAAAACTGTGTTTGGTTTTCGCTCTCCTCCTTGGAATTACTATTGTGATTTTCTTCTACTTCTCTATTCCCTGTTCGAAATCTCAAGACAATTGGGCAGTGACGTTTGAGAAGACTGGTAAGTCAGGCTTTTGATATTTTTCTATACTGAACAGAAAGATAAAACATGCAAGAGGTTGTTGCTCCAGTTTTGTGATCAGAAGTTACCAGTACTGAACATCAAATAAGAAGTACCCTCAGACCATGAGACTTTGATTAAATATACTGCAAAAAAAAGAGCTCTCATTTGGCGTGTCAAAAACACTGCAAAATTTGTATGAAAGAGAAATCAACATTGTCGGACTAGCAACAGTATTTTCAATTGTGGAAAGTTGATCTATAGAAAGATGGTCACAAAACCATGTCATGTTAAGTCTCGCACATAAAATTTGTAACAGATTACCGGTAGCATAGTGGTTGTTGCATCTGATCAGACTCTTGATCAGTTGAACACCAAAACATGTGCCCTGAATGAATGTTCCACAGGCTCAGTGGAAAGGTCAAATCCACTGGATGAGAATCATTCACTTATAAATGCATGTATTGATTAAGGTCTGATGCCAAGATAGCACATTAAATTGTCATAATGCCAGATGATAGGAAGTTGGTCACATAGACCCGTCACATACCGTAGTCTCAAACATGGAATATGGTTTCTGTGGCAAATTGCATCAACTCCTACACTTTGTACCCCCAAAAAAAAGTGAGCCAAAAAAAAATGGGACACAGTATAACAGTATTGTTTCTTGCTTCAGTACTAACTTTTAACAGTTTTCCAAATCAGTTAAAAAAAATGATAATATATATAATTATAACTTTATTTATTTATTTTAGAAAAAATATACTAGACATGGCATTATAACATCTACCGGTACATATGATTTTATTGGTAACCCAGAATAAAAATGTGCACAGGTGTACAGATACATAATACACAATCAACTTTTTATGTGTGAAATAGGAACTGAAAGCTGTGTCAGACTTTATGATGTTAATAATGATGGAGTAGTTGATATGATATTTGGTGTCACTATTGAAACTGGTCCTCAGACAGAAGAAGAAATGGAAGCATTTTGTAAAGAACGTGGTGGTGAGTTTGTTCCTGCATTATTGGATATTCCTGAACTAAGCAGTGTCAGTGCTGTATGTATATGTTATTATGTGTAGCTCACATCAGTGACATGTATGATACTAGTTCCATATTTGCTTCATTACAAACGTACTTCTAATAAAAGCATATAACCCAAAAATCAATCATTAAAATATTACTCATTTTTACCATAAAAATGTTTTAGTAGTTTACATATGTGTATGCGCTACTAATAGAGCAAATATGGTTAAAGGTTTTTTTTAGTTTATTTCCATAACTTCATCTAAGCAGTATAGACTTTGGTATTCACCTGGTGTACTATCTCACTTCTTGTATAACCAATTTTTGAAAGCATGATATTATGATATCACACTTACCAATGACCCGGAATGATACTTTCATGAAGACCAAATGACATAATATGTTGATGATGACATCACACTTTTATGACATGATTTTTATGACCTCATAATTACATATTTCATAGCTGTTATTAATTGCATTGCTTCTTTTTAATAGATTTGACACCTCCATGCGGTGGTAAAATGATAGCTTTAGATGGCAAGAATGGAGCTGAATTGTGGAGATTAACCACAGACCATGAGATATTTGAAATCAGTTGTGGTAATATTGATATCAACCAAGATGGTATTATGGATTGTATTGGGGGTGGCAGAGGAGGTTCATTTTTTGCTGTCAATCCTAAAACAGGTAAAAATTATATATTTCGCCACCACTCATTCATCTTTTTATTGTTTTTCTAATGAGTAATTTTAATGATAATCCATTGTTTATAGAACATTTTTTAATGGTAATGTTTTTCCTTACAAAAAAATGATGTTGCATAATTACATGTTCTTCTAAATTGTGTTCCTGAAATGTGTACAAAAATAAACCATGGCTTTCATTAAATATAAGCTATGCAATGCAAAATACATTTAAACTTTAACCTAACTTATTCACCAATCTTTTGGGGGCAGTTTGCTGTGATGTTTATTTTTGGACCAGTATGACAGGATAATGGCAATAAATTCTGATGCAAAATTTTATGATTGAGAATGAAGCAGATATGAAATATAAGTAACATGGTGGTAAAAGAATTAACTTTATTTTTGTTATTATGTGGTTATTAGGGGAACAGTGGACACAATGATATGGGAGAGTATAAAACTCTAAAAAAGAAGTTTTGTGGCTCTATCTCACTCTAGCAAGATTCTGGCTGCCATTTGCATCCTGGGTCTATTCAACAAACTGGTTTCAGAGTCAACTGACCACTGTTTGTCTTGAAGCTAATGGTCTAATTAGGTTTTTAATACTTGATGTGGTTGATATTTATTTTAATCAGGTGAAATTTTATGGAAAGCAGATAAGAATGTGACAAATAATCACTGGAACTATTATCAACCACAGATTATACCAGACTTGGATTCTGACGGTGTACCTGATATTGTAGTAACACATGGTGGTGATTTCACATACAGTGATGAGGTGAGAATTTTTTTGATATGTTTCAATGGTGAGGTAGGATATAAATGCACAGGCATAATTTGGACTTTTGGCAGCTGATTCAGTTTATTTAAATGTAGCTTCTGTACATGTGGATCAAGATACTGTAAAATGGCTAATTTTCACTGGGTTTAAATTTCGCTGATTTACCATTTCAGGCATATTCAGAGGGTTTTAAATTCACGGTTTTATCATTTAGATAATGTGTTCTATGCTCAATTTTACATATTCACTGGGTTTTAATTTAGCGCACGTTTCAGTCGGCGAAATAAGCAAAATTAAAACCCAGTGAATAATTAACCCCTTTACAGTAAGTGGTATAAAACTGGAATATTACACAGCGCCCTCTATCAGCTATTCAGACCTCTCTGATTGTAATCTCACCAAGCTCCCGGGATGTTTACCCATTCCAAAAATGGGTGAGCATGTTCAGTACACAAAACACATGGAAAGGGTTTTCAATTCAGCATGTAATTTGTGTTATGTTACGTCAGGTTTACCAAACCAACCATTTTCAGAAAAAAAGGTAAAAAGGTTCTGATGTTAAACAAACAAAAAATCATAAAAATTTTACATGTTGAGGCCCCTGGACTTATGATTGAGAAGTATGATATAATAAAATATCATAATGTTTTATACCAGACTGATTGTAATGATTTCACTAATTGTCAAGTGTCCATATTGAAGGGAAGCATGTATCAAAATTTTAATTTACATGTACATTTACAGAATGGTTTCAAAAAGTGTTTCTGATCTTTCAAAGAATATGAAAAAATAGGATTTACAATCAGTTGGTCTTGAAAATAAGTATGAAAAAATTATATTCATAACCCTGTGCTTAGCCCATATTTTCAAAATTGGGTATCGCACATGCCTCATTTCGAGTGAGAGCCCTGACTTATCTATGATTGATAACTGCTTTATTTTCAATGCTACTAATTTTCATGATTTTAGGATTTCATGGCATTTGAGAAGACGAAATGTCTCAAAAGTCTTGTTGCAATTTCCATTGACTTGCGAAAGTTGTTTATGTATGACTAAGTCTAGCAATTTGAATCTACAAATTGACCTGTTCAATATAATTATAATAATACCTTTTAATGCATCCTTAGAATTAATACATTCTATATGCAGATTTGTTAAATTACCGAAAAAGACTGTCAAGAAGATTTTATTCTGATGCTATTTCCTCTTTCAGGATACAGAACGTCTGACCAATTTCATAGTACTAGTATCTGGGGCAAGTGGTAAAGGTTTTGGATTTATGGAGGTACCTGATCACCATGAGACGTATAGTCCCCCTGTACTGTACACCCAAACTGATGGCTCTATTTATGTATTATTTGGTTCTGGAGGAGAGACCATACAAGGTATGTCAGTCTTTGTCATCATCTTTTAACACATACCCCCGGTACTCAGGTTTAAAAAGCTATCTTGTGCAAGCTTATTACAGCTAGTCTTTCTTTTGAAGTTACATTCTAACATCATTCTTAAAGCTTTATTACCGGTACTTGGGATTCTCGTGTGAATTGTTGGGAATATGTGTACTGAATGACCAAATTTCAATGATATTCAGTGTATTGTCAATTGTTTCAGCTTTCTGTTTGTTTGGTTATCCGAACATCATTTTCTAACGCTTCTGAATTACATGTATGTTCAAACATGCCTAAATCTATCAAAATTTGTTTCTGTTTGGAATTACCATGGCTAAATCAACAAAAGATGAATCATCAAATATTTCTCCACATTCATAGCATATAAAATAAAATTAAGTCACAAAATAATTTCAAGACCTCAATAAAGATATAGAAATGATCTCAAAATGCAATATTACGGTACTTCAACACTGGTTCAGTTTCACTTTTTAGTCAGATCATATCTCAGTATAACATTTATTTAAAAGTATTCTGACACCATGTATGTCATAGTGAAACAAATTTACTCAGCTTGTTTACATTTTTAATGCTATTGAATATTTGCATAGAAACAACCTATTGGAATACCGGTAATACCGGTACATGAAACATACATACTGCAAAGTTGACATACTGGTACATGTACCCTCTCTTTTCTTTGTATATTCACAGGTTCACTTTGGGCAATATCTTTGAAGGATTTATACCATAATATTGTAACCACCTCGACTGACCCACTTACTGGAGACTACAAACAATGGGGAAAATCAACAAAACAGGAAAAAGTTTCATTGAACTTCTAAGGTAAAAACATATTCAATAAATAATTTTTGA